TGGATGTTATTTAACATAGAAGTTCGTGCTAATTGAAGTTGTATGTTACATAAGAGTGTTCAGAGATGACAAGCACTGGATCTTTACTGAAAATTTATTTATAATTACCATTAAACATTAAACATTTCCTACAATACCTAAAATATTAAGTTTTTGGACTTTGAGCACAGGCTGTATGTTCTTTGTTTTACTCCTAGTCGCATTTTATAGTCTACTAGCAGACCGGCCAAGCGTTGCTGTGGCTAAGGTTTTTGTTATAAGATATAGTAGTAAACTATTCAAGGGAAACGGTAGGAGAACACCAGTTATGGGGACCACCATGCTTTATTGGTGGTTATGCCATTAAATTGTAGCTTATGTGAAACGTTGGTACTTTCAACACAGCGCCATCTGTTAGAATTGTTACTATCAAATAATAAAGAAATGTTTTGCAATAAAATAATATTGCAGGTATAAATTGCGATGTAAGCTATCCTTTCTTTTAAGTTAGATCAAACTGCACACTGTGTGCAAATTTGATTGACATCGGTTCGGTAGTTTAGGAGTCCATAGCGGACAAACAACGTGACACGTAATTTATATATGTCAGCGTAAAATTGTAAACACCGTTAGATTGTAATCTATCTCGCGAGATTGTAAACTGTCGAAATATTGTGAACCTCAACGAACTGCTTACAATTTAACGTATTATTATTCGGTAGATTGTAATCTATCGAAGTGAAACCGTCAAATTGTGAAACGGCTATTTTCTACTTTTCTATTGGTTATAAGTGATGTGACATTCTCGGTAAATTAATCGAATCGATTATTTCGTCATTTGTTAATTTTAAAGTTGAACCTAATCGAATCGAATATTTCCTCATTTGTTAATTTTAAAGTTAAACCTAATTTAACCATTACTTGTCAAATGTACATACATTACATTAACTTCATGTTTCAATTAGTGTAGGATTCCGAAAATTTTGAAATTATTCAAAAAGTACCCAAAACCGAATCAGAGCACCCCACTATCCACGTGGTCTTGTCTGGCCCTAGAGTGTATATAAAAAATCGGAGGCGCGGAGGAAGAGCAGCAACGGTGGAGGGGGTGCATTTCCCGTAGCGCCGGAGCTGTCCAAAAAATGTATTATTATTCGGTTAGGTTAGGTTAGTATATTAATATTTTTTTTAAATAACTGTTCAACCGAAATCGAATACAAAAATCGATTTTCACTTTTAAAAAATAGATTATTTTTGAAAACCAACCTAGGAGTTCAGGCACCTCTCGTTCGAATTCTTCGTGATTTTAACAAATTGAACACAGCTTATCCGGAGCTGAATATATTCGGTAGTGGTCTGATCGGTTTTAGAGAAAGCATTGGGTAACCTAATTTCGCTGGTTTGCTGATGATTTTTCTTTTTTTCTGCTCTAAGTGCCAACAAATTTCTGTAATTTTATTTTATTTGTGTGCTTGTATTATCGTTTATGTTTAAATTGTATTTTTTTAATTTCTATTTAAATTTTTTTTTGAGAAAATTATGCTTACATTAACTGTCACACATTTTAGAAGTAAGATTTTGTAAAATTATTAGTAGATTTAGGACTGTGTGTGATGTCGTAAGCTTTATAACTAAATAAATAAATAAATACATTTGACAAGTAATGGTTAAAGTAGGTTTAACTTTAAAATTAACAAATGAGGAAATAATCGATTCGATTAGTTTACCGAGAATGTCACATCACTTATAACCAATAGAAAACGAGAATGTCACATCTCTTATAACCAATAGAAAAGTAGAAAATGGTCGTTACACAATTTGACGGTTTCACTTCGATAGATTACAATCTACCGAATAATAATACGTTAAATTGTGAGCAGTACGCTGAGGTTCACAATCTTTCGACAGTTTATAATCTCGCGAGATAGATTACAATCTAACGGTTTTTACAATTTTACGTTAACATATATATTAAGATTTACTTCTCCATACTTACGAAATTTTCAAAAAGGTCAACCAATACAAATGTGTGACATTAATAGAAGGCTTTTATGTTTTAAAAATACAAGTGCCAAATTAGTAGCAGTAATAGTAAGTGATATAATTACTATTACTACCACTAATTTGGCGCATGCGTTTGGCTTGTAGGTAATCAGCCAATGTCTGATACATTTCGATATTTAATTCCAATTGTACGACCAAAGACATTTTGCTCATAGAGTCTTTCTTAGTTTTAAAAGCGTGGCGATTACCTACATCGTCGGAGTTACGTCCCGAGAGTATAGCCAGACGCAGTCACTCTCTTCAGCACTATAAGCATAGCATTTAGCATATTAATTATTTTGTTGTACGTGAAGGGTAAATATAGAGTGGAAATAATTGCAAAGAAGTTGCAAAGAAAAATCCATCAGAGCACAGATCTAGTCGTGCTCGATAGTTTTTTGTTTCTCCATATAAAACATAATCACTTTCCAACTTATTACCATGTCGAAATGTAGCATGACGGTATAGTATGAACTACTGAGAGCTGGCAGAAAGCCAACATCGTTCGCATGCACAACCTTACGTATTCAATGTATTTATAGTACATACATGTATGTAACACGCTCATATGTTTTGTGGTATGTTATTCTAACACCATGTGTTTGAAGATGATCAGTATTTAAAAACAGTACCCCAATTTTAAAGAAGTATCGAAACATGCTTAAATTTGTGAGTTTAGTAAAAATCTGTCCTGTCTGGCTGGCATGAGGAAAAGTTAATATATGTTTAATATACAGGACATGATATTATCGTAATCTATCAAGGATTGATCTTTGAGATTAATCTAAGATTGTTGTATCTGTTTGTGGCATTGTAGTACCAAAACGGATCGACATAATATGATGCTGTTTTAACATAAAATTCAATCAAAAAAACAGATGTAGCTACAATACGAGATGCTTTAGTTTCAACAATATATACAAATTTGATTCTAACATAATTTTGTCAATAATCCCTACATAAAATATGTCAATTATTTGTAAAAATTTATACATTTAAAAGCCAACTATAGCTAACTACACCCACAAGTAGGACAATCATCGCTTTACGCAACATTATACAAAAACCCTACTATTTTACAGTTCAAGCGTTAAAGCGTAGCTATTCTTAATTTCAGCGGGTTTCTAAAGACTTAAGCTATTCGCTTCAATCGCTGAAATTGGTTAACTTCAAACCAAGCCTCTACAATCGTCTACTCTTAGCTTCATACTTATATACAACGTATAAGCAACCCTCTTTTCGCCTTAAGGCAACATTTTCGGTATGCGATGACCAAGGATAATATAGATTCATATAAGTATAACATTTACTTATATTATTTTACCACGAACTATAGTCGCATGAAGCTCGTAACACCCTTCTTTTCTGTGTCGAGTGTTAAAAAATCGATACGACATGCGCTGACTACGCAGGTCTTCGTACAAAAAATTACCCTACACTACAAACCTGTCTCAAAGGAGTATTTTCTTTCATATTGCATATCCGATCCTACTGGTAGAATTCTATTATTGAAGGAGAATTTTGTTAAATACTGTTTATCATGGTTATATGTATCCGTGCGAATTGAACACTCGCTCGTACGGAGATGGAAAACATTGTGAGGAAACACAAAAGACACAAAAGGATGATCGCCCACTTGCATTTAGAAAAAACAAAAAAAAAACAGATACAGAATTCTGAGACTCAGACTGAAAGGTAGCGCCACTGGTTTTAGCTGTATCATAAAGGTATTTAAACATAAATATATACGTGGTAATAATAATCACATACTGAGACGAGAAATAAGTCATCTAGTGTCTGGCATCAAGTCTAGAAGAAATTGGAGCACGCCGCATTGTGACGTAGAAGCTCAATACCGCCAGAGACAGTACGTAGTAGCCACGTGACGTCTTCTTAACGTAATTGTATACGCCCACACCGTTGTGCAAATAACAATACTATGGTATTCACAATTTTCGTTTCCTCTCAATGAAATATTTAGTCATTGCATAGTAGTACGAGAATGTCCTAGGATTTTGTAGATTCCGCGGCGAGTCTCAGGCAGTGCTTTCAAACTTAGTATTAGCAAGATGTCGAGGACACCGGACCCCTATCTTCTACCTCTATTGCCATTTTGAGTTAAATTTCTCAGTCTCCTGCCAGAAGCACACTATCTAAATAGCGCAATTTAGATGAGTTCCAATTACCGTTATACCATTGGGATTAATGAGTAAAATAAGGGACCTCTTACAATCATGGAATGTTATTATTGTGTTATTATTTTATTATTACTTTCTACGCTACTCTTTAAATTCTATAGCAACATAAGAATACAACTCGAAATATACTGGTGCGACGCCATCTTGCCTAGACAAGCGTTTTGTCGGGTTCTTGAAATGTTTAAATTCATCAATTAACAGATTGAAAAATACAAATTTTAATGGTTTTAAAAATATTGTTAATTAGCCTACTATAAATCGACATCCAAAGGAAATGGTATCATGAGCTGAATTATAAAAACAATCGTCACCATCATTGTAGTTAGGATTAAAACATTTCCATTATTTAGGCATTTAGACAACGTAATCCGGTAAAACCGGTTTTAACAATGTTTTAGACAACAATAGGGACACGGCTTACTACAAAAGCAACATCGCGACTCTTACTTTATTCAAATTATCTTATAGTAGGTATAAAGACTCCCGGTCTTACTATAGTATGCGGTGATAAAGCTTAGATGTTATCCCCCCATACTTTAGCGAACAGTAGGCTCTGGTGGTGGACTTAACCCCCCCCCCCACTCCTCGCGCCACTTTACCATCACGCACTGGCGCGGGGCCCACAATCACGTTTCCCCAGGATAAAAAAAGGTCTTACTATGGCTTAGTTAATAGAACTTCGTTTAAGCATTACACATGCATTCGACTCCCTAATATACAATAAAATTGGCGGGCGGCACAGATCATCACTCACTTGTCATTTAAACTAAGTTCCGTGCTCTATACTGTGACGTTATACTCTATCTTCGCATATTCCCCAGAATCGAATAGTCTGGAATTTCGACGTTGAGAATATAACTAAAATTGTTATTAGAAAAATTATTATCTAGTTTTAATATCGAAGCTCGCTTCGTTTTAAATTTAATAAAACTCGCCAGTTGACAATAAAATTATACAATCTTACAAATTACAATATTTCCAGACAAAGTCTCATAATTCAATATAGATTCTGTTCACAATGGGTATTTGTTTACGATTGTCAATGCCAATATCACTCTTGTCTATGGACGATTGCAATCCAATAAGTTTAATGAAATTGCTATATTTGCTGAAGTATATCAGAATATTTTTCTTAATATGGAAATCTACTCCGATAAAACTTAACGCGGTGAGCGGATGTCAATTCATTTCAGATAAAAATGTTTTATTAATAAAAAATATCACAATTATTCATACTACGGTGGAACTTGCGGAAATTTTTCACTGCTCGTCGACTTACAGAGATTTTTTTTTATAGATGAACATTGTGTTTTTTTTTTAATATTTTCTAGATAATTTCGCGACTAAGTTGTCGTCGGAGGTATTAAATAGCTTATGTACGTAAATTTACGTAAATGGTAACCCGGATGATTTAATACTACTACCTACTTCTTTTAACAACTTTTTTGTTACAGACCTTGACCTTTACAGCTAATTCCAGAAATATGCCTCTTAACCTAATGTTGAACATTATTTCCTTTAAATTCATCTCTGTTACTTTTATTCCCATAGCTTGTTCAGTGTTAAACATTGTATCCATTCCGGGTTTACGCACACTGTTTCTAGAAATGAATGATTGACCTCACACAAAATTTAACGGTATTCATAAAATATGGTTATCATTCAACACAAAAAGGTCACACATACTTTGAATATTAAAATTAGCTAGGTGACGTAAATTCCGTTATAGCACATAAAATCATCATACTTCACAAATTCATGAATAAATAAGATTTTTTCTGGTATTAGTTACTAAGACAATAAGGGGTATGTACTAAACTGTAATTTTTTCGAGATTCTCTTCAAATAACATTTGAAGAGGCTGAAGTGAGTATATTAAAAACTTCCGTTATTACGGTAAACAATAAAAACGCGCAGCATTGTTTACGTCGTGCCCTAATTTTCTCAGTACATCCTTACAAGAAGGTTCTGTTTTAAATTGCGTGTGTCATAATACAGGCGACACACAATGACATAGGAAATTCGTAAAATACAACATTTTATAGCTTTTATTCATAATATATTTAATTGTAATTACCTCGCATTACGTCAAAACTAATATTAGCGGCACTGACAGTGTTATCTCCTATTGTAAAAGTTTAGTAGCATTTAAATGCTTTCGTTATAAACCATCATTAAATTAAGTTTGTCTCGCTAGCTGTAGAAGTAATACCACTCCGCTTTGGATCCAGTCCAGAATAAAACAATAAATATTTAATAACTGACCCCAAAACTTGTCCATTATTGAGCTGTTCCGGCGGCGACTTCACCTGTGAGAAAGTGACTTTGTCGCTAATCTCTCCGCGGCTACCGCGGCTGATCAGCGGCAAGTGGATCTGGGTGCCTTTCGACTCCATCTTCTTGTCTGACGTCATCGCTGCCAGATCATCCTGGTAATTCTGAAACGAGGCAAACAAAATTTCAGTAAAGAATATTCACAGAGTTGTAGCTTTCACCGTATATTGAAGACATCGAAAATCAGAAACTTTTCAACTTAATTTCATTGTAACTTTTGCTTTGTTGTTAGTACCATTGTCTTTGACATTAAATTATCGAACGATTCGAAGTATTCTTCATGAGTTCATGGCATTCATTGATCCAGTAATTGAAATCTACCCGGCACTAATGACTTACAATTATATGAGATATTGACTCAATTGATTCGTTATGATATAACAAAAATGTACCCTGTCGTTATTACACGAAGAGCTAATTAGTATAAAAGCGTCGACCTAAGAGAGGTCTTACGTAACCTCACGAAGGTGGGGGTTTACGATCATTGTTCTAAACTTAACTTTTATGAGGGGGATTTGAAATGAGTTCAGTGTTCGCCCACGTTGCCATCCGGGGGAATTGCATCTGTGCTATTCATTTTTGTATAAACCTAGCGCAGCCTACGTTATAATTTTACTCTTTACAAAGTGGCTTTAAAAGTAATTAGGCAGGTTAAGTAAGAGTTAGAATATCTATTTAGTTTCATACTAAAAGGCGGCAAAAACGTCGTCAAACGGACGTCAGATTGGATTTTCTTTGCGTACTACAGAAAAAGTATCTATATTACTCCAGGTAATTTAAAAATTACAATGTTGTAAACCGTCTAAAATTCAAAATATTTGCGTGTTAAATGAATGAGCCTAGAAGATTAAAATCAGCATCTCGTTCGTATTACAATATTAAGTAGCGTGTTTAATCAATTTAAAAGGGCATTTAAGATACACATGTGAATGAGCGTAGAATATTAAAATCTGCATTTAGTTCGTATTAAGTTTCTCAAGTTAAAAAAAATCATTTTGAAATGAGGGTTAATGTTATTTAAACGTTAATATAATCACACTAGTTGGAGTTAATTATCTTTATTTCTCATTCCTCTTGAAATTACTTAAAACTTAAGTACTTCAACAAACAGCTTAAGGCACCTAGCTTTGATTATCTTATTAAAACTTTGAGTTAATTCTAGCTAAGTTTAAAGCTGGCATATAATTAGATTAATTGAAGTCGATCTAGATTCAAGTCAAGGCAAAACCATAATTAACTGATGTCGTGCTTCGAATAGAACCAACGTCTTATCTCGTTCTGTACTATTAACTAGTACTACTACAGGTACCTAACAAAAAATAACCTTTTTAATTTTATATCTTTGCGAATACGTAACGTAAAAAATTATATATAAACTAAATATATATTTAAAATGAGGGACACGCAGGGATAAACGCGAAACATCAGTACAGTTTTAATCTATAGCCTAATCCCGTAAGCGCCAAAAATGTTTAGGGAGAATTAGACATTCGTTATACATTCTGAAACACGGGCCTAACTTCACATATGGGATATATACTCGCTTTTATATTACATTTAAAGACGATATATATGCCTATTCTCATATATATGCCTATTATAAAATATATCAAGCAGCTGCATTTATTCCATATATTCACAATATTCTCACACAAAAGGTCAAGTCTTAGGTCATCTTAGGAGGGTTACAGGAAAATTAACTTAATTACGAATACATTTAAAAATGGAACCAGTCCTGTCACAGATTATGCATTAGCAGAAACTGGATTTGGTACATATTACAATATAGATCCAAATTTTTAAACCAGTTTCTTTTTTCAGGCAATTCTTATTCTCAAGGTTTGAAACTAAGAGTGAATATTTTTTAAGTATGTTATATAAGCTCTCAAACAAGCATTAGTTAGTAGGTAATTGTTAATAATTAGAACTTTGTAAGCCTACTTATAATTAAGCTATCATAACGATAATAAAACAACAAATTAATATGAGTTTTCGGGGTAAATGTTCATTAAAGATAAGAAGTTACGAATAACGAAGGTTCTGTTTAGAAGAATGAGCCTGTTGTTAACTTTATTAATATTATAAATGTGTATACAGTCAAAACCGTTTACGACGACATCGTTTAGAATAACATACCGGTTATATTGACCAAAATCAAAGGTCCCGGCTGAATTCTATTTTATTAGGATCTTAATAAAAACGTCATCAGCTGTAACGACTATCGGTTTTTACGACAAAATATGAGTAAAAAAATATTCTATTAACCAGCTTTGGTTTCAATATAATTTTATTTTCGTTCGAGCCCGTATGTTGAGTATGATCTGTGCTATAAATGAATTATACAATTGGATTTTCTTTTTCATCGCCGTATTGAACCGACTTGATTGATTTGATCCTTGTACTTTTTGCAGTCTTCTAACACTCGTGACTGGGTGCAAAAAGTACGTTTCAATTTAAAGACAGGTCATTGAACCCTGTTAACTAAATAAAACATAGATTTTGTCTGCAAAGCCGTTTATTAAGGCCAGCATTTATTTGCATGGAAAGGTGAATAACCGTGTTTAAAAATTTCCTCGGTCGGGCAAGTCTCTGATATCGATGCACTTAACATTTAATATCCTTGAAGTCATTGTATACATATTAAAACATCACGACTCTGAGATCCAAAAGGAAACTTTAGCTATAATATATAATCTTTGTTAGTATGAATATTTTTGCCTATTTTTCTCAGGGATGGTGTTTTTTTTTTTTTTAATCGGTCTAATTGTTTACCCCTTTCAAAAAAACTTTAATGGAAAATAGTCGCGTTGAACACTGTAATCGTATGTACTTCATGTTACATATATGGAAAATAATAATGCAATAGATACGGAAAGTATCGGTTTCGTGTTTTCGATCGAATATAAAAATGTTTATTATCGAAATATAAAAATCACTTTCTGATCACATAATATCCGATTACAATATGTCTTTATCTTCGCTTCGTTTTATCACTTTCAATGCTTAATGCTAAAAAGTGAAGGATGTGTGTGTGTTACCACGTTATACTGTCACAAGAATTTCGTTGCTGTGCGGAAGAGTTATTTATGATAAAAAATGTTCAGCCGTACAGCCAGGCTAGACCGCTAGTCAGCAGTATTAAAAAAGTAAATTTGATTTCTTAGTCCTCAAATATAATATAAATTAGCGATAAAGTTAAGTTAAGTAAAAGACATAGACAAAACTTTTATAAATATTAATCACTAAACAATATTTAGATAAGCAACATAAAGGTAATTTAGCAAAACCCTGCGTAGTTTCAGTAAATGTTCCAAAAGACGGCTTAGGATTAACAAAGGAATGATTCTTGCTCAGTATTCTTATTGCGGAAACGCGTCAACATACCAAGGCACACATACACAACATAATTTAAATTTTGTCGTATAATAAAAGTATAAAGAGTAGGGCTATTAACAGTAATAATGTTCAAATACTAATCAATTTTACCCCATACTCTGAGTAGTAGAAATTAAGTCTAATTATTTTTATCAGCCTTTATGCCTATCTATGGAGTTCCACACGAAATGTGCCAAATATATCTAATATATAAAATTCTCGTGTCGCGGTGTTTGTAGTTAAACTCCTCCGAAACGGCTTGACCGATTCTCATGAAATTTTGTGTGCATATTGGGTATGTCTGAGAATCGGACAACATCTATTTTTTATCCCCCTAAATGTTAAGGGTAGTCCACCCCATTTTTTTTTAATTTTTAGATATTTTTTTTATGATACAGCATTAAAAAATACATACAAACCCTAATTTTCATTTTCCCTCTACGATCAACCCCCTATTTTTTATTATAAATGATATACATGGCAAAACGAATTTGCCAGGTCAGCGAGTAATCTATAATTTTTAGGTGTTTCCTGGAATCACTCGTTAATCCGCTCGTAGCCTCATGGTAAATAGCCTTCCTAGATTTAAAAAGCAAAATTCATTAAATTACCGCGAAATGTATAGAAAAATTACAAATACAGGTTTTTTTGTATAATCATATTTTAGAACAATTTAGCAAATACTCTTAACACTACTGACTAATAAGATTACTAATAAAATGTAGGACGAAATAGTTTAAAACTGTCATTGACTATAGTCGAATCGCTTTGATTTCCAACATTTCATATATAGAATCTATTCAGTATGACTAATTAATCACACAGGTTTTCGGTATTTATTATTTATTTGTCTTTTCTTACAAATCGCATTGAACTTACTCGAAGGTTATTTTTTAACATCACTAAAAACGACCACTGCACTGAAAACTTTTACAAGCACTGCGTAATCCATAATCAGTGATTTCTATCTAATTACCGGCTTAGTAACTTCATTTAGGATATCGCCTGATAATTACTATGTATTTGATAATGAGAATATTTCAATAGGTACCTAAAATGGGAAATATTTCAATATTAATTTTATGATGACTGGCAGAAATTTGTTTATGGTGCGATGTATGTCGTTTCGGACAAATCGTAGAGCCAGAGAATTTTTTATATTCTTTTAACATTTTTGTTTTCCGATGGTCGATATACCGACGATTTTTTTAATGAGTACAATCACTACGCTAAGCTTTTAAGTCAGTATAGTATTAAGAAATCTTTACTTCACCGTTATAAATTCAAAAATGTAAGCAGCAAATAGAAAGGTTTTTCTTGACCTTGTAATTTCTGGAAAGCCAACGTCGGGAGGGTTACTAGAGTCAGAACCTTCAGAATTACAATTATCGTCGTGGCATTCACACGATATCAATGATCGATAATACACATATTTAAATCAAATCAGTTCATGGCGAAGGTTTAATACTAAGTTTATCGTAAAATTATAGATTATTTATCGGTTGCTTTGTCGTCCGTGACGTCAATTTGGTTCCTAGCCAAACAATTTTTTCGCGTTTGGATGAACAAATCTCCATCTTCATCGATCCTAAATGTGTTGATTAGTGTTCCTAACATTTATCAACAAATATTAATTTTATAAAAATACTAGCTGCCCCCACGAGCTATGTTTCTCCTTAATGTGATTTTTCTTAGCCTACCTTTT